TGTGTTATTAGTCACTAGTTTGATATGTTACCTCCACCTCAGCAACTACGAACTGGAGTACGTATTAATGTAACAGTACGGAACATAGCTAGGGAAAGAGTCGAAGTTGTCGCCGAGAGAATGCACAAATTGTCCGATGGGTTTCTTGAGGAGTTAATGAACGATCTTAAATCTATCCTTGAGGGAAATGTTCCTAAAATTCATAACTTTGTTATGTAAAACGTGTGTTTGTAGCCTTATATTTGTGTGTTCTCATTTTGTTAATATTAAGTTCATTTTTCATTATGTGGTTTCTTCATTAGTTGATTATGATTGAATATTATTGCAAGTCTTTTCTACATCTCTTACGTTTCTGATTAGAAAATGAAGAAGAAAAATTCCTTTGTTTATTGATTTGTCTCTAACAAGTTGCAAAGGTTGATTATCGAGTCCTTGCTCATTCCACATTAGTGTTTCTCCCCAACATATTATATACTTGTTTTTTTTTCCTTTCCTGACTTTGAAAACTAATGTCTATGTGTGTGCTTGTTCACATATGTTGGAGCTTGTTCACCTATATACTCAGCGTCAGGAACTTTCATTTTTATTTGTACTGCAACAAAGAAACCAAAAGTTTAGGATATATCATCTTGGGTTCTGAACTGAGGGAACACGTATAATTTTGATTTACATAAAAGTGCTTACTCATCGAATCATACTTTTATCACTTATCTAGTAAGTTAAATATTGAATACTTACATTTTTTGGTCCCAGAAATTTAGATATTCTTACCCGCAAGTTAAATATTGTGGGACGCATAATCATTTCCTCTGTGGAGATTCAATTTATTATAATATTTTACTAAGATAGATTATGATCACATAAGCTTGCGTTTTTTGGATCTTCTATAGTTCTATTGGCTGATAAAGTTAACTAGCTAAGCTAGCATTGGGTTCTCTTTAAGTTCAAAAAGTCATCTACATACATATTAACATACATATATGGTTCATGACTCCATGGATGAAGTTTAGAAAAAGACAAAAAGATAGATTTCATGTATGTAATTCCAAGTTTCTAAACGAAATCAGTATCAATGTTTTTTGTAAAAAGTGATATATCCACCCCTTTGCATAGTGGAAGGGTTATGTAAAGAAGGAAAGAATAAAGAACGGCGAGAGGGAGTTGTGTTGTGGGGTCTCAGTGACACAACATTCACTTAACAAAAAAGAGTAAAGATTAACAAAAGCTGATATTCTATAATTATCTTAGTGGTTGTGAATTTTTTTTTTTACTTTTTTTTTTGCAGAATGAGCTTGTGAAAATTTTCTTATTTCAGTTCTTTCTTGGTGCTTTACAAAATTGACTTATCTTTAATTCTTAATTGCACTAAATAAAACTTGAAGAAAATGTACTAAATAACTCCATAGTTTTTTTTATTTGCAAAATCTGCGGATAATATTTTCATATATATATATATATATATATATATATATATGAATTTTCAGGTTGAAGTGTTTGGTTTATAAAATTTCTTAGAAATTAGAATAGTACGCCAAATTTAATACAGCCAGGGCTGTTTATATTTGACCACTTTATAGTTTTCTTTTGTATTTTCTTTATAGATATATTGGTTTTGATAGCCATAAATGCTATCCAAATTTAAACGAAAATAATTCAAAAACTTTAAAATTCTTACATATGCATGAAAGCGAGTCAAAATCAACATAGATGTGTTTTGCACAGTCGTGTGTAGCATGGTAGCACAAACATAGCTGTGTGTTTATACACTGTCCTCTTTCTCCACGCGGTCAACATTCTTTGACTTTGATTTTCTATGGTGTTCTCGTCTTCTTCTTGCTTATTGAAAACCAACTAATTTTCATTTTATTTTTGTTTGTTTGTCTATGTTTTATTGTATTAAAACTAAATATATCTCACACACCTTTTTCCTTATAATATATATTCGAAATTCTCAAAGTTGAAAAAAAATGGATTGAGACAAAAACTAGATGGGGGACATGCATCTTGTGGATCATTGAGGGGTTAATAAAATAAAACGTTGTGGTGGTGGTCGAGACGTGTTTGAGTGTTATAATCGTAAATAACACGCCTGATTCAGATTCTATTCTCTCTCTCTCTCTATATGATAAGAAGAGTGACTTGTGTGTTTTAAAGTCATTCCCATGTGCCTTGTCTCCGACAACTTTATCTCTCTTCTTGCTCTTGCCTCTGGTTCACATGGTACTTCTTCAAGATTCACCAGTTTTTTAAGGTTTTACATCTCAGAAAAAAGTCAGGTGGGTACTAGATCTTTCTTCACACGAGCAGTTCTGTTCGATCTTTAATTCCTCTGTTTTTTTTTCTAACTGTAATATGATCTTTATTGAATTATAAAACCCTCTCTTTCTTGATCCTGTCAGAAAATTCTTGATTCAGAGTGTATGTTACTGAATTAACCTAAGAGGTATATATATAGTATTTTCTTATATGTTGAGTTCTTGATCTCTCTTTAGTAGTTTTGATTTTTTTTGTTTGTTTAGTAGTTTTGATGCATAGAGTTAAATTACATATGTTTCCCTTATTAGGGTTCCTTGCAAATAGAGGTATCATGTGGATCTGACCTTCAAAAACTATATATTATGCAATTTAAGTTTCTTGGATGAAAAAAAAAAAGTTTCTTAGATTGTTTCAGATAAGTCATGTTTGATTTTTTTTTTTTTTTTTTGTATTTGTAGGTGCAAATTTTTTAAGGTGTGAATCATACACGTGACAAGAAATGTACAAGCATCCAAGACAAGAGATGGAGCCTTACTCTTTGCCTACAAAGCGTAGGTACGTACCGGTTAAACGGTACTGCACGACCGAGTCATCATCACCTGACTCACCAGCTTACGATGTTCTCTCAAACGCTACCGTTTTAGTAACAAATAATAACAACAACTCTGCGTACGAGGATACGTCTGGCTCTTGTGTGACGGATGAGTTTAACGACAAGATAAAGGAACTCGAAACGGTGATGATGGGGCCAGACTCCTTAGACTTGGTCCTAGACTACAACGACTCCTTTGATTCCACGTCGTGTCAAGAGACTAATAGCTGGAGGTCAACTCTAGAAGCTGTATCCAGACGTGACCTAAGAGCTGATCTTGTTTCATGTGCAAAAGCCATGTCTGAAAACGATCTTATGATGGCACGTTCGATGATGGAGAAGCTGCGTCTAATGGTCTCGGTTTCTGGTGAGCCTATAGAACGTTTAGGAGCTTACTTACTAGAAGGCCTTGTGGCTCAGTTATCTTCATCGGGTAGTTCTATATATAATTCACTAAACAAGTGTCCTGAACCGGCAAGCACCGAGCTGCTCTCTTACATGCACATACTCTACGAGGTGTGTCCTTACTTCAAGTTCGGTTACATGTCAGCAAATGGTGCCATTGCTGAAGCTATGAAGGAAGAAAACAGAGTTCACATTATTGATTTTCAAATAGGTCAAGGGAGTCAATGGGTTACTCTTATCCAGGCTTTTGCAGCTAGGCCCGGTGGGCCTCCTCGGATACGGATAACTGGTATTGATGATACGACTTCAGCTTATGCTCGTGGAGGTGGTTTAGGCATTGTAGGGAACAGACTCGCCAAGCTTGCTAAGCAGTTCAATGTTCCGTTTGAGTTCAACTCGGTGCCAGTGTCAGTGTCTGAAGTTAAACCTAATAACCTCGGAGTCCGACCAGGGGAAGCTCTAGCCGTTAATTTTGCCTTTGTGCTTCATCATATGCCGGATGAAAGCGTGAGCACCGAGAATCACCGGTACAGTTTCTTTCTTGAAATTTGTTAGAAACATAAAGTATAAAGTGTGTTAAATTAGATGGACTTCCGATAAATTAGCCAGCTCCCTTATATATATTATTTAGGATCCATTTCAACTTCCGATGTGGGACGATGTCCCTAATAGATAGTGTATTTACTTTCCTTGAATGAGTATATATATGTTTTTGTAGGGACCGGCTACTGAGAATGGTGAAGAGCTTATCTCCAAAAGTGGTAACCCTAGTGGAGCAAGAATCAAACACAAACACGGCTGCTTTCTTCCCTAGGTTTAAGGAGACAATGGACTACTATGACGCGATGTTCGAGTCTATTGATGTGACTCTCCCAAGGAATCACAAACAAAGGATTAATGTTGAGCAGCATTGTCTAGCAAGAGATGTAGTGAACATCATAGCATGTGAAGGAGCTGATAGGGTGGAGCGGCATGAGCTTCTAGGGAAATGGAGGTCACGGTTTGAGATGGCTGGTTTCACTCCTTACCCGTTGAGTCCCGTTGTGAACTCCACTATTAGAAGTCTACTCAGGAACTATTCGGACAAATATAGGCTGGAAGAAAGAGATGGAGCCTTGTATCTTGGTTGGATGCAACGAGATTTGGTAGCCTCATGTGCATGGAAATGACACGGAGAAGAGAGTCTATTGTAACCGTAATCAAAGTGTGTCTACTTGTATGCAGTTTGAATCTTCAAAAACATTAGAAGAATCTCATGTCTACTTTTAGAAACCATTGCATTACAGAACATGTCTTGAAATACTAGTTCAAGCATTTTGTGTGGACACATCACTAACAATTTATTTACTATTATGAGTGTACTTAAACCCAAAAATTAAGACATGATAATTATACTCATCATGCAAATTACGTACCTATTTCAAAAATGACCAGAGAAAAGGTCTTCGTTTCTAAAACTAATCTATTTTCGCTAAGCAATGGTATTATTAGTGTTTGATTATGTCAAACTCATGCTAAAAAGTTTCCAAAAATATCCGTAAGAAGAGGTGAAAGCAACGGTGGATAACAAACTCAACGTTCAAATCTCTCTCTCTTGGAGACTATATAATGACAGCAAAACCAAGGAACAAAACATCAATAAGAAAAATAAAATCTCAAATAAAAAAAAATAAAACCTAGTGGTTTACCAAAAAAAAATTAAACAAAATAAAACTGTAATCACTAGTGAGTAGAAAAAATCTCAATAATGGGTGTACATTTTGGAATATCCACATTCTTTGTTCTTTGTTTGTTTGCTTTATCAGCAAATGCTGGAGAATACAGAATCACTGCTAAGCCAGGTTCTGATATCACCGGCGTAAGTTTCTAAATGCTTTATTAATCTTCCCATTAACCTACATTACCTTTCTTGTTCTCCAAGCAAACTTAAGATTCTTTGGGATACAGGAATTGTCGAAACTATTCAAGGAGGCATGTGCGTGCGTGGAAAAGAGCACCGTCGTGATCCCAAAAGGTGAATTCAGGCTTGGAGAAATAGAGATGATGGGTCCATGCAAGTCTCCTATAAGGATTTCTCTTCAAGGCACTGTGAAAGCTGATGGGAACGTTAACGGGAAAGACTTTTGGGTCGCTTTCCGCAGGATAACTAATTTTAGATTGAACGGTGGTGGTGTCTTTGATGGTGAAGGTAACGCTTCATGGAGGGCTAATAACTGCCACAAGACTTCTTTAACTCAGTGCAAGAGACTCCCTATCGTATGTTTTGCCTGTCTATCTATTTATCTATCTATCTATAATAATAACGGAACTAAATAGTGTTGATTTGTTGATGTTTTGTCAGAGCATAAGGTTTGATTACATAACTGACGGTAAGGTGAGAGACATAACCTCGTTAGATGCAAAGAACTTCCACATTAACGTGATCGGTGCAAAGAACTTGACGTTCGAAGACATCAGGATCATTGCCCCTCAAGATAGTCCCAACACCGATGGAATCCACGTGGGAAGGAGTGACGGAATCAAGATCATCAACACAAACATCAAAACCGGAGATGACTGTATCTCTGTTGGTGACGGGATGAAAAACCTTCATGTCGAAAGAGTTACATGTGGTCCAGGACATGGAATCAGTATTGGAAGTCTTGGATTATACGGACACGAGGAAGACGTTTCTGGCATCATGGTCGTGAACTGCACACTCAGGAACACTGACAATGGTGTAAGAATCAAGACATGGCCCTCCGCTGCTTGCTCCACGACAGCATCTGGTATCTGTTTCGAGAATATTATTCTCCAAAACGTTAGCAACCCTATCCTCATCGACCAAGAGTACTGCCCATGGAACCGTTGCAACAAGAACGTGAGTACAAAAAAAAAAAAAAAAACATTTCAAGAAAATATATAACGATCATATATAGTCCAATGATAATCATTTTTGCAATTATTTTTGTTTTGTAGAAACCATCAACTATCAAACTGGTGGACATAAAGTTCAAGAATATCAGAGGATCATCAGGGAACAAAGACGCAGTTAAGTTATTGTGCAGTAAGGGATTCCCGTGTAAGAACGTGGAGGTAGGTGACATTGATATCACATATAATGGAAAAGATGGTCCAGCAACGTTCCAATGCTCCAATGTATCTCCAAAGTTGGTGGGGAAACAGTGTCCTAAAGCATGTAGCAGCCCAGTGACGAAGCTACCAGGCGAATAGAAGGTCGGAGAGTATATAATATATACCCCGTACACTATCTAAAATGTACACCCTAGTGTATGTTACTTTCCTTTGATTCTTTGTAAAAAAAAAACTGTTTTTCTTTTGCCGCTTTGGCCTCCAAGTTTTTGCAATTTTGCATCATTCTTGTAAAAAAATCTTATATAGCAATGAGAAACTAAGATTTCACTGCAATCAACATATAGCAAATGATAATATTTGTCTGGTATGGTTTTTTTTTTTTGGTCTGGAATTTCTATACTTGTTTCTGTTGGGAAGGATTTGCTCTACAAAATAGAGTTAGTTTAAAGTAGTTTGAACTTCGACCTAGGGAAATGTACGGAATTTTAGACCTGCAACATGAGAGTATAATGACCAATGATTGGATTTTCTAGTCCTATGAGTAAGAAAACATGACTGACAAGAGGTTTCACCTCATGGAGAGATGTTACATAAGATTTGCTAAGAGAAGCTGTTCATCTTGTCTCAATCCACGAGTTCTATGTAAGGCAAAACCATGTACTAAGTAGCAATTTCTGCAACAATATATATGAAAACTGTAACTAAGATCACATACAAGAGAATAACTTATATGACTATTTTCCAAAATCATTTTTCTTTTGCAGATTATTCATAAACTCAGGCCCGGCTCAAGTGCAGGGGCGAGCAGTCGTACACAAAAAGGGGCCCAATGCAAAAGTTGTTGTGGTGTTAGATTTAACATATTCACGTTTTCTTATTATTTAATTTCACTTAAAAGTTAGATTGTTTAATTACAAAAGGCCTAATCAATTATACATACAATATAACCTCTTTAAATTAATAATCTATAAATTAATAATCTATAAATTAATATCTCTATAAATTAATATAATTTCATTGTCCCAAATTGAATTTTTGGTTCAATTAATATCTCGATAAATTAATAATCTCTATAAATTAATAAAAATTTTAGTTTTGGTGTAGTCCCAACATTATTAATTTATAGAGGTTTCACTGTACAAAAATCATTAAGCCTAAAATAGTGAACCAAAATCTAAAACCGTAAAACGGATCTAATATATGGTTATTTAATAAATGACACAATTTGTGATGAATTAGATTAAAATTTTATAATTTAAAGGGCCTAAATATTTTTTGCCCAAGGGCCCAGAAGATGTTTAAGCCGGCCCTGCATAAACTCCACTTAGCTCTGTGTGATTGTCTCCGGTTAGCACCCAATATCCAACATATCTTGGAGTTGAACTTTTAAGCTTTTAGCTGAAAAAGAAGAATGGGCTCCAAATATATAGCCAGAGAAGTCAAGAACCACTAGAAACCACACCATTCTTGTTAAATTCTATAAAACCTACATTGACCGTTTCTTATATACCGATAAGAACCCCACCATAAAAACTTCTCATTGGAAATAATCTTATTTTTTTCATACCCAAACTTATTAATCTATGTGTCTTTAGCATTTAAGAAAACAATATAAATTTTATTTAATTTGGGTAAAAATATACTAATTTCCATCTTATTTTTGGTTTTTGACCTAATTAACTCTATTTTTCTTTTCAACAAATATTCGAATATGTGAACAGGGGATGACTGGCAAATGCTTTAGAAGTGCTGTAGAAACTTTCTACAATCCAAATCCCCTATATATTAATTGAGAAACATTACAACATGTTTTGGTAGCTATGTGTCATCATGAGAATGCTTCTCAAATTTATTAGAGAAAATTTTGGTCCATATAAACATATAATATATTTTTTATTAAACTAAACATAAAACTATTATTAATGCTAATCATTATTTCCTTAAAATAAAATTTACGGAATTAACTAAGATGGTTATAATATATATATGATAATTAATGATTAGAATACGAAGATTTGATAACAAAATTTATAGCCTCTACTATTTTTGTTAAACTTATATTGTGAAAATAAATTAAACAATAACATTAACTATATAACAAAAAAATTAGATTTTTTTTTATATATGTTATATTTTGAATTTTTAAAAACAACTATAAATTAATAAAACATTTAAAATTTTGTAATATAGTATTTTTGATTATTAGCTTAAATCCCCTATATATTAATCGTGGAGCATTAGAACACTTTTTTGTAATCACGTGTCACAATGAGAATGATTTTCATAACTCTTAGAAAAATATGTTGGTCAAACTAAACATATGTTATATTTTTATTATACTAACTATCATATTTAGTTAGTTGTGCACAAAACAATATTTCTTATTCTTTCCCTAGATAAAAGCTATAGAATTACCTAATATGATTAACATATATATCACAATTAATGTATGAATAATAAATATTTGATAACAAATTTTTATCGTTTTTACTTTTTATTTACTTTTATATTATTAAAGAAATTAAAAAATCACGTTAATCATATAATAAAATAGACTTTTTCTTATACATTATATTTTAAATTTTTTTAAGATCATAAATTACTAAAATGGTAAAAAATCTCGCATTGAAAATTTTGTGATCAATGATAACGTTTTTTAGTTCAGCCAATCATTTTTCTAATGGGTCTTAAACACTTCATAATGATTAACTAAATGTATCGCACATAATAGAGTGTGTTTTTTTAAAAAACTATTGCATACCCAAAATCAATATGAACCATCATCCTTTTCGTTTAATTTTTTGTTACAATAAAAATATATGGTTGGGCAAAAAAAAATGAATCCAGATAACCAAACTAAATCTAATCCAAAAAGTAGTAAAACATTTTAACCAAAATTTGTTAGATATCCAAACCGATTCGAAATTTTAATATCTAGAGAACCCAAACTGTATCGAAATATATCTGATATCCGAGTGTACTCGAGCTATATTTATACAATTAAATATATTAATTATTTTAAAATTTAACATATAAGAATATCCAAAATACATGAGATTTTTTAAAAATTTCCAAAATACTTAGAAATATATAAAATAGTCAAATGTACATTTTTAAAATAGCTAAATGATAGTCCAAATACCAAAATATTTGAAATCTTTATTTATTTTTGGTCCAAATATTTAAGATAAACCAATTTTATGTTAAGTTTAAGTATTTTGGCATTCATTTTTCAAATTTATATGTTATATATTATTTTTACTTTTAGATTTTGAAAAAAAATTATAGTATATATGAATTTAATCTTTTCAAAAAAAAAATTAAATGGGTTATCCGAACCTGCAAAGATTCGAACCAAACCGCAAAGATCTAAACGAAACAGAATCTAACCGAACCAAATGGTACCCAAATGCCCATCCTTAATCAAATGTAAAAAAAGTTATTGATAGCAAAATATATATTTAAATACAACATATTTTTAAAAAGTTCACTCCGCGCATGGCGCGGGTTATCATCTAGTTATTTGTAAAGCAACGAAAATTTCCAATCATACTTTATAAATATTTTTTAAAAGTCACATATTTTTCTTTCCTTTTTATTTAGTTTTGGCTGTGGAAAGTACTAAATCTAGAGCATTTATTTTTTGCTTTGAAAATTTATATGTAAATAATTAAATTTTTTTAAATCTACAGCCAAAATCTTACCGTTAAATTATCTACAGCCACAGCAAAAAAATCTAGAGCTATAATTGTAAAGTTACAGCTCATTCCAATCAACCTTAACCTGAGGTGATGTGCATTAAAAGTAATTTTATGTTAGTTGTTTTGAATTTTTTGATACAGAAAAGTAATTTAAATATCAAATTTTAATCTACAGTCCACGTGTCAAACCAACAATACATCTCGAGTTGAAATATAAAACCCCACAATAAACTTCTTTTTTATTTTCTTCCTCCTCCTTGACCATTAGAGGCCGCCGCTCTCGTCTCTCTCTCTCACTCTCCTCTACTGCCCATCCCTCGTCGCCGTGACTCTGTTCCAGTTTTTCTCTCCCTAAGTCAACATCGACGCTATCTAAAGGTAAAATTTCACACACACTTTCTTAGTAAGCATATATCAAAAGTGTTTTCATCTGTTCCCTTCACTTCATTGTAGGTCTTTTTTGAAAGATGGCAGCACTGAATAATCTCACTGAGCATCTCGAATCTTTCGTTGACGTCACTCGTTCCCCTTCTCACCATGTACTTCCTCCTCATATCCTTGTTAAGATTCTTGTTTCATGCCTTAGTCTTGTTCACTGTGCCCTGAGATTTTGGAGACTGTAGCCTTTTTTTATAGTGAAGGTTTTTAATAATTTTATTTTCCCACAAATTTAGGGGCTATATCTGTGTAATAATATTCTGGATTTAAGCCAATGTTTGACTTAGTTATGCTCTGTTCACTTTGCAAATTGGTTGAAATCAATTTGAATTTAGGACAAAACAGTAGTACGAGGTTTGAGTTGTGTTTCCTGTGTAATAATATTCTGGACATAAGCCAATGTTTCACTTAGTTATGCTCTGTTCACTTTTGAAATTGGTGGAAATCAATTTGAATTTATTACAAAACAGTAGTACGAGGTTTGAGTTGTGTTTCCTGTAATGTTTTTGTAGGCTTATAGTCTGAAAGCGATTGCTTCTTCACTGGAGAAGGGTGTCTTGTCTATAAACCAATTGGTAAACATACATACACTCATCTTCTGTGATCTCCTTTATGTGGTGTTAAGTTCTGTATTGTTGTGAAAGTGTAGGTCGTGGAGATGGACATGTATTTGACCACGACTGATGATGTCATCCGAGCACGAGGTACTTTTATTCTCTTTTGAACTGTTTTTATTTAAATGTAACGGAAACATTTACCGCAAAGCCTTTGATCTTTGTCTTTGTAGGTATTCTCCTACTTGCCGAGATGCTGAATCATCTAAAGTCAAAGCCTTTGGATACTGCAGTTGTACAAAGTCTCACTGGATTCTTTACCGCAAAGCTGGTGATTTGATTCTTCTACTTCTTGTATCCGTTTTTAATCATTTATTAATAGAAAAAAAAAACGATGTTGATCATGTATCAGGCAGAGTGGAAATCGGTGCGCGGTGCACTTACT